ATCTAGCGAGTCACACACATACTGATTTACCCTATTCAGGACAAAGGGAAACACACAAAGGGGAGTATTCTATAGGAAATGCTACCATTGAAGATTCTGTTGCTTGCAATCCCCAAAAAAAGCAGGAGTTTTCATTTCTTAAAAAGAAAGATGAAGATATATGTGACATTTCAACATATAAGGGGAATAAAGGGTTGCATACAAATTTAGAGTCAACATCTTGTAACAAGACAAGTGCCATTGATTTCCATTTCTCAAACAGAAGTGCATCACTGGAGACAATAAGTTCTAGCGCTCAAGTGCAGCAAGAACAAAACAAGGAACAAATACGAAGCTCAAGTAGTCCTAATAAGAGCAATAAAAACTTATCACCTGATGCAATTGACAGTGATGATGATGTGATCATTTTAGATGACACAAGTCTACCCCAAGCATCTGTTCACATCAGAAAAGATATTTCATCTTCATCACCCCTTCTTGCTGGGCCAGGTATTCCCCCTCTTATTTCCTCTTAAACTGCATTTTTTGTCGATGTATCTTTTAACCGGGAGCAAAATGAGCCTTATGTATGTGTTTGGAGAAATAACTTATACCCCATATTGATATGAAAGCACAGGAGACCGTTGCTTCTCTGGTGGGCTGATAGGTCCTGATGGAAACAATTGGCACTTGGGCAAATGGTGCAAGAAGGTGGGGCAGAATAAGGGACCAATGCCAGCGTCTGCAGGTTCAGCCACCATTAGTGGTGATCTGATTGCTGTTGGAGCAGATGGTAGAGGGGGTAGGACCAAAGTTCTAAGGTCCCACACATCCTTGGTGAGCATACATAGTTCCTCCTTTTTGGGCACATAAAAGTAAAATCAGCGCCATACAATGTATAATATATTCATGTCTGAATAAATGTCGGAGTAACATCCTATCTTGTGTTTTTTTTGGGAGCAGAACAATGACAGTTCATCAGCCTCAAATAAGCTGTTCAAGTATGCCCTGAAATCAAACAGTTTGCGGTCTCAAGGGTGCTTGCAGATGGAGCATTTTTTTAGTAAGGCTGGGCAATAGGTTTGTGTGCTCAATTGGTCAAGGGAGGGGTAGTTTTCGGTCTCAAGTATGCCCTCAAAATGGTTTTGTAGTTTTCAGTAAATAAATTCTGATCGTTGTATCTCAAAATGATTTTGAAGTAAAACCGTTGTACTATAACAAGACGAAGTATTTTTGTTGGAAGCATTAACTGAAGTATTGTTGTTAAGCCACTTTTGATGATTACTTTAGTTTTTATAAGTAAGTTATTATATTTTAAGAGCTTGTTTAGTAGCGTTGAAGTGCCTGAATTTAGTGGCATTGGCGAAATTGTGGCATGAACTGTTGAATTGGTAAATTATATTTTCTTACTTATTTTGATTTGTACAAAATATAATATGTAAAATGAAAGGCTGCGTGTTTGGTAAAAAGTAAGGTTGATAATTCGAAAACATTGTTTACTAAATAGGCCCTAAAGTTGAAGGAATTTCCAACTAAATGATTACATTCATCATTTCCTGTCATTTTTTGTTGAAAACATAATAAATCTTGAACAATAAATTGATACAAACACTATAAGTCTATAACTGAGCTGCTAGTAGTTACGATTAACACAGTAGCAATTCTGGAACTGGGAGTCAGGCCATTCTGGAGAGTGCATCTGCTCTGCTCAAAATGACACTTCATGTTCCTTACATTGACCCAACCGGGTTGGTACAGATATAGAACAATTGGATTACAAACCCACATTTGTTTCATTATTAGGACAAAAACAACTTCAACCATGATCCAATGATATGTTTTAACCCTAAAGGATATACGAAGTATACATGTGAGAGTATGAGAGTAATGAGACCATTGTTTTGTGCCCCATGTATGTAGCACAAAGAGAAGAATGGCTGTGACTGCAAACTTTACTGCGCAGAAGCAGCTATAGATGAAGAGAGATGCAAATTTGGAACTACTGAAGCAATGAACATTGATGCCAAATTGTTTGTAGTTCCCTTTTTTATAACAAAATGTGATCACATATTACTTCCAAGCTCCAAGAATCTAAATAAATACATTTAGGTTGATCCCTCATTCCCTTGCACATAACGAAATTATGATCTTAATTTGCAAGTAACTACTTATTTGCACAAGCCTTAGGGATGATTATTATTATAATTTGCAACTTATTGATTTTTTATAAATCAGTAGAATCAGACAATCCAGTCAAGAAAGAGATAGACCCCGTTACCATAATAACGGCCTCTCAAGAAAGAGATAGACCCTGTTTACCAAAGGATGATGGTAACATGGACTGTTTCGAATCAATTATAGTCTCAAACTTTTCATTTTTATTTTTTTTAGGTCGGCAACAATCGATCAGTGGGAAATGGGAATGCTCCTAGCAGTATTTAATTTGGGAAGTGTTATAAACTTATAACCGTAATATAGCTGCTGCGGGAGCGAGGTAAAAAATTATCACATATAGAAATTAAATACGAAGTATTACTCCGTATCTAAAATGGTTAATTATTGTAATATTACATTTATACTTTTATTATATTTATTAAAAAAGTTAGTTATTTAATATTATTCTTAAATCATCATATATGATTGTAAATGTATTACAGTAATAAAATGTGTAATATTAAAAGAAAAGTTGCACAATTATTGTACTACTATCACATTAACATTTTTATTATTTGAAGCTCTCATATTATCATCGCATTGTCATATAGGGCTGGACCCAACCGGTTCGGCCCGGCCCGGAACTGGCCCGGTCCGCCACTGTGCGGGTCCGGACCGGCCCGGTTGGTGATAACCGGGCCCGGTATTTTACCCGGTTGGGGAGGGTTGGGCGGGCCGGGCTCGGACCCTGTATTTGTTGAACCGGCCCGGGCAGTTCGGGCCGGACCCGAGCTTTTTTTGTTTTTTCATTTTTTTGTTTTTCTTGGTTAGAGCTGGGTGTTTGGGGGGGGGGGGGGTTGGGGGTGGGGGTGAGGGGGGGGTCGGGGGTTAATTAGAAAGCAAAAAAAAAATTACCTTGACCCGGGCTGGTTCGGGGCCCAACAATTTGAAAAAACAAAACTGCCCGGGCCCGGAACTGGAATCGGACCGGCCCGGGTCCATCCCTATTGTCATATTACTGAGATTGGCATAGTAATATTTGTTATTAAAATTAGAACTGTTATTCATATTATCATATTATTACTAAGGGAAAACTGTCAAATAGGTCCTCGAACTTTCATAAAAAAGTCAATTAAGTCCTTCTATAGGAGGTTCTCTCCGGCCGTCACGATTTGGGGCAGTTCCCGGTGGAATTTTTTGATGAAAGTTTTTGAGCATTCCATTCACCAAGTCTAGTTTACTAATACCAAATTTCAGCAAAAAATTCAATCGGGAACACATTCAAATTAATTCTTGAAGATAACTGCGCATTTTTGCATTCTCGAATTAATTTGAATGCGCTCCCGGTTAAATTTTTAGCTGAAATTTGGTATGAGTAAACTAGACTTGATGAATAAGATGCTCAAAAAAATTCATCAAAAAATTCCACCGGGAACCTCCCCAAATTGCGACGGCCGGACAGAGTCTCCTATAGAAGGACTTACTTGACTTTTTTTATGAAAGTTCGAGGACCTATTTGACAGTTTTCCATATTACTAATACTGTTCAAATCGTCATGTCAATATTGGTATTCAAATCTTCATATTGTTATTCTTAGGGGTTGTTTGGAACCGATTCTACTTCTGCTTTCAGAAGTTGATCTCCCACTCTCTCCCAGCTTCTAAAAAACCGATTCTAGGAGTAAATTAGAGCATCAGAAGTACTCTTGCACTTTCACCCAAACACACCAATTTTTGTTTCTGCTCCACGAAGGAGTACAAGTAGTTTTAAGAATCATATCCAAACACCCCTTAAAATGTTTAAGAAAGCTTTTTAAAGTATCATGAATTTTTTTATTTTGTGACATTTTCTTGCGATTTTAATGTAGAATTTTATATTCTACAATGGTGAAAAAAAGAACACATGTTTCACGTATTAAACACTAAGGCAAATACACTCTACTCATGTTGATCTCCATAGTTGCGGTCAAACAAATACTTAACATGCCGTTATGCTCTTGTAAATTGCAGAGCTCAACTATAAGTGTGTAATCATCTAAAGCGCTTGTGTATTTTCATGATTAAAAGCAAGGCACTGTCAATAAAAATAACACATTCTCACATCATTTCATATATGAGACGAACATAAATATTTTTTAAATATTTCCTAATGTGTGATTAAAATAAGGATATTGAATAAAAATGTGATTTAGTAGCTATTTGGGACTATAATTATGTTCAAATTTTACATAAGAATGACTATAAAAGTGTATTACATGGTCACTTTAGTCATATTTTTTGTCAAAAAATTTATTTTAATACTATTGCACGAAAAACCTCATTATTTTTCAAATTAATGTCAAAATAATAATATTAAAAAATTACTTGGATTTGATTTCCTTTTACAAATGTAAGTGTTTATTTAATTTATAAATTGCTTCTACTTCTACCTTAGTTTAGCACTTTAGCTTGCACTTTTAGCTTCTATTGTACCTCAATTTAGCTTCTACTTTTATTGCTTTTACAAATTTTATGTGTTTATTTAATTTTTTGAGGTGCTACTACAGCAGGTATACAGCTCTACTTGTACCTTAATTTGGCTTCCACTTTTATTAAGGTGCAAAATACTTGGCTTGTACTGTTTTAGAATATTAATAAGTTTCTTTAAAGTCTTGTTCATAATTTTTATTAGCTCATATTGGAATTGAAAATCATATAAAAACTAGATCCAAACAAACCAAATAAACTAGAACCATACTGGTAATCTCTAGTTCTAGTACTGGTACTCCATTTGGGGTACTAGCGGACCAGTCCACTGTGCGCCCCTACGACTAGGTGACCTAGGTATCCCGTAAGACAGGTCGAGGCATAAACAATTTTTGGACCAAACTAAAATCAGGACGCTCACGTCGCTAATCACGTAGGCGAACAGAGATAGAACCATACCACGAAGCAATCATTAGGCTATGATAGAGGGTCTAAATCATACTCCGTATATACATAAAGAGTCAATAATTACTCCACATAAACAAACATTTTCAGTTTTCCACCAATAAAATAGTATAAATAAAAGAAGTTTAATGCAACATTTTCATTTGAAGGTAATAATGTTTCTACAGTCTTGACAGGACAAATTTCAGCACAAATGCAAGCAGCCAATAGTCAAGTTAACCCATTGCATACTTCTGGGTCCAGCTCCTGGCAGTTGTTTCATACTTGGCCCTGTCTGTCTTGTACATATGAGCGATCTCCGGGACCAAGGGATCATCAGGGTTTGGATCAGTTAAAAGTGAACAAATTGAAAGCAACACCTGAAAAGCAATATAAAGGAACCTTTCCCACCTTGAGATACAGACTTATAGGGAAACTCATTAGCATTAATGGACTTTTAACCCCACAGAAATGTAAACCTACATCCCTTCTCTACCTCTCTCTGTTAATTAAGTTCTGAATAGATAGTATATAAGTATTTGTTATCTTCTTTATCTTTTTATCTTATCTTTTTATCTTCATCTTTTCTTTTCTTTTTATCTTTTTAGCTCCGATTCCATATGGCGATTAATGTTAGCCGATCCCGAACTCTTTTGAGACTCAAGCTTGTATTTTTTTACCACGAGGGATCAGGGGGCTGGGGAGACCCGGGGTATAGAGGGTTGAAACTACTTCCGTGGAGTTTCAAACCCAAGACTAAAGCTTGCATGTTGTTATAATGAGGTATTTGAAATTTCTAAAATATTGGACCAAGTGCTAAAATACAAAAGGCTATAATATCTGTCCCATATTTGTCATCTACCGATCTCCAATTGCAAATAAAAAAAAATGTCTCACTAAACAAGCTTACGTATTATTGTCACACACACATAGACGTGTCTCATATTTTAAGAAATTGTTGGTTCACATACTTGTACTCATGTCTGTTTCATAGACCTAAGGTCAATCATGCCTAATATCTCTTCATCCGTTATCATTATGGGTATGTTTGGAACAACTAGCTGAAAAAATACTTTTGTGAGCTTTTTAGTAATGGTTAGTTTTTAAAAGAAAAAGGTTATAACTGCTTGATAAAAGCTGACAGCTTAATTTAGTTCAATTTAGTATAAAAAGCGGTTGTGACCACTGACTTGTGACTGATTAACACTAATTGTTAAAGATTTTCTCTTAGACGCTACAGAGTGTAGCTTCTAAAAAAGATCTTAAATTCTTAAAAATGCTCTTAAAATTTGTTGTGCCAAACATACAACTAGGAACTTTTAGAGACTTATATAGAGAAAAATTAGACTTTGGAATGACAAGCAAGTATAGATGCTATACATGATGCAACACAGTCAAAGGCCCTTAAGCATATATAAGTCCTAGTGGGCAGGGCTGCAATTGGCAGAACATGAGTTATAGATGTTTGGATTGTTGCAATTACAGCATGGGAGCCCGAAGGAGATCACCGATTCCTTCAATATTTGGAGAGACACTATCGCATTATTGATGGCTTTTTGAGAGGCTATAAAGGCGGGACCTTTTTGGAGTTATTCACAAATGAAGCCGGCGCTGGAACAACATGAAATGGTTTCAGTTTGATAGGATTGGGCATATTATTAGAAATAATAATAAGTAGGCTTGTATTATAAACATAAGTACTATAAATAGAAGTGGGGAGTCTTAGAAAGGTAGGCTGTTATTTGGCTAGGACTGGGCTAGGAGATTGGGCATCTCGAATTGTCTGTGCTTACTGTATCCCTTCGGTTCGGTTCATCACATTGAATAAAGCTTTCGATCTGTTCTTCTACAACTTCTACTGATTTCTATATTGTTCTGAGTATCGATTATCAGTGTCTAACATTGTATAGAAATCAATGTTAGACACTGATAATCGATACTCAGAACAATATAGAAATCAGTAGAAGTTGTAGAAGAACAGATCGAAAGCTTTATTCAATGTGATGAACCGAACCGAAGGGATACAGTAAGCACAGACAATTCGAGATGCCCAATCTCCTAGCCCAGTCCTAGCCAAATAACAGCCTACCTTTCTAAGACTCCCCACTTCTATTTATAGTACTTATGTTTATAATACAAGCCTACTTATTATTATTTCTAATAATATGCCCAATCCTATCACAGTTTTTCAACTGTTTGAATGAAGAAATTGCCAGATGAAACAGAAAGGAGAAAATAAAGGAGATCTATTTGCAGGCTTTGCTAGAGAGTGGAGATCTCACCTCCCTAAATCCCTTTGGAAGATAACTAATAGCTTGTGGTAGATAATTGTAATTCTCTAACTTATATATAGAGAAATTACACTAATCCGACTAAGAATAGGCAAACTCAATGACTACCAATTGTAACTGAAGGCATTAATGAAAAAATGACTGGTTGCGCAGAATGCATTAGGCTCTTGAACTAGGGTGTTGCTTGATTGTTTGTGATGAGATATGGAACCAAGTCATAGACTCATGGCATTAAATTTTTACACAACCATTGGAATCAGTCGAAGTCAGATGGTGCCATACCGTGACATATTGTTCATCTCCGGTATAAATAAAGAAGGGGTGGAGTTGCTAATCATATTTTGTGTCTGGAAAATTCTAAGGCTAGGATTTGATGATATGTTGACTAGAGAATAATATAAACTCACCAGTCACCACTTACAACTTCATAATATCTAAAGACTAATGCATTATTTAAATGGACAAATGTGCACGAACTTAATGGGGTTTCTCCATTCCTATGAACTACACTTTGACAAACTATGATTTGCATAATCTCAAAGCCAAGTAGTGAGAATCAAGGCTTAAATAATAATGAGAGTGTGCCAATACTAAGGCTCGTGAATAATTAAGAAAGAAAATTGAATCTCATCCACTCAAGGATGATATCATTTAGAAAATCTGGATCTCATTTCTACTCTAAAATGATAAAAGAAAACTTTTGGAAAAAAGATTTAGAAGTTGTGAGTTTGACTCTTAAGCATCAAACTAATCAGCATTACTACTAAGCAAAGAAATGAGAAAACTTCAAAGTTAAGACCTTGGAGATTGTCAAGGCAGGGCTCCACTGCTCTTTCAGGATGTCAAGGCAGATGCTACCATTGCTATTGATATTAGGATGAAAAACTTTTGTCCTAAAAGCCACCTGCAAGGTGTTTCAAAAGATGTAGCAAAATTATGAAGAACTTGTGCTCCAAAATAAAACGTACGGTCTCAAATGCTAAAAGATTAACAAATTATGCAACATCAATCATTCACATAATAGTAGGTTCCAAAGTTTCGATCGACAAGTAAACGAAGACCTTGGAGAGGCTTTGATACGTAAGTTTCGTTAAGGAAATAATACACACATAGTCACATACTCAACAGTTCCTTTTCTATCACAATCCATTCTTGAGGTCTTTTCGTTGACACGGAAGAAGCAGGGTTGCATTTGTTTCATCGTATAAAATTAGAACTTTCTGCTTATTCACATCATAGGTGGGAGACAAAAGGTTTTGATTGTATCAAAATATTAGAGTAAACAACATTAACAGATTAGCCCTACTAACATAAGATTCATCAATCAGACAATCACTAAATGCCAGTTAACAAGAAGTTCTTCGATTAAAGTAAAACGAGCTTTAGAAATAAACATAACATTCATCATCATGTACCTTCGGAGGTTTGAAGGGATAATCAGGAGGAAAATGAATAGTAACTAGAAAAACCCCCCCTGCATAAGGACTGTCTGGGGGACCCATTATGGTGGCTTGCCAATGAAACATGTCTTCACCAACGGGTCCTGTTCAAGAAGTCATGTAGAAGATTACTTCTTAATGAAAACCAAAAGACATAAATAAAGGACAATATTATTTTAGCTTTTAACCACTATAGAAAACCACGGCTCTGTTTTTTATAAACACAAGTCCAGACTCCAGTTTGAATTCCGTTTTGACAATATGTTTATCAAGAAAATGTTTAAATATTGAAACCATTTACCCAATTAGGTATTTAAAAAGATATCATTAAACATAAGTTTGATATACATTTCACTAATTCCGGAGTTAACCCCTAAGGTCAAAATAAAATGATGATCAATGGGACTGTTTAAAATCCTTTTACATGACATATTCACATAACCTTAGAGCTAGTATGTGTTTGGACAAGTTCTACAGATTCAACAAGTAAATCAATAGACATGAAAATAGACATTATCTATTGTCATCAACTCGGAGCAAGCTAGAACAGAAACATAACACTAATGTTTAGAATACATACACGGATACACCACAAAAGGTACACCTGACTCTAATGGTAATATAAGCATATGCCAAAAAAACCACAAACATGGGTATCTCACAAAATTAACCTGAACTATGTTAAAGTATGATACAATGGGGAATTTCCTGAAGTAGCGTCGTTAGATTTACTAATTATCCATGTCCATTTTCAGAAATACTAAAAAACTATGGACGACCTCAATATGTTTCCCGTGATTTTTTAGGTTACGGTAAAAACAGAGAAAAACAAAAGCAGACACAAGCAGAACGAAACAAAAGCAGGCAAAAATCGAATTAGAAATACCAGCGCTGCAGGAGGAAGGAGGATCTTTCTGCAGATCCTTGAGCTCCTTCAGGATCCGTTTCGAAGCCATGGCGCAAACTAACCTGTTAATCAAAGATATCCGCTCAAATGTGATGATTTTTAAGAAGCCAAATAGCAGTTCAGAAAAATAGGGCAAAATGCAACAACAGCCTGTGCGCGTGAATATATAATTATGAATACCCAAACAATCAATATCAATAGTATATGTATATATAAAAGTAGATGCGAGAAAATGATTAGGGAGCTTCACCGCTTTCTTGTTTTCTTCTTTCTTTTGAGATTATTATTATATGCTGGCTCCCAACCAAGAGAATATTGATGACTTTACGAATAATAATAACAATACCAATACCAACACGGAGATGATGAATTATATAATAATCGGGAGTAATAAGGAAGATTTGTTGGGAATGTTTGTTCCTTATCCCATTTTAAATTCCTGAGCATGCCTACTCAATTTATTCCATCCCGATTCATTCAATAAATATTTAACACAACCCTTTCTACTCAGTATATTGGATTATAAAAGTGTTGGCAATAATTCCAAAATTATAAAAATGTTGGGAATGATTAAAAATTATGATTATGATTTTTATCGTTTAAATTCTGAATATTACTACATTCGCTCTTAAATAAATGCAACACGTGAAATTTTACATTATTCACATGGTTTACTTTGATTATGTTTTATTTATTAATGTATTAATAATTTATTTTAAAAAATATTTTCTTAAATTTGTTTAATCCTAAATTTTCAATTTTTTAATTTTACATCATCCTGAATTTTTAATTTTTTACCAAACGAGAATAAAATACAAATGATCAAAGTTGTGCATTGGTAAACATGACAAGTTGATTGTAACATTTATTTAAAAGAACACTCAAAATAATCTTATTTATTTATTTTGTCCACCATTCTCTATGACTCCTATCACCGGTCACCCTACTGCTCGATTAAAAATTTAAAGACTAGTCCAATATTTTTTTTACCCGCACGGCTAGCTCAGTTGGTTAAGTGGTAAGAAAGTTGAAAGAATGACCAAAGATCGAATCTGCAGCGGCTGTGTAGAGGTTACAGCTCCTGCGTGCTGGGCTGGACCACTAGTGCGCACGGGTACAAGTTCTACCACCATTGGATCAACTGAGCCACATGACTTACAACCTCCCCAAAGTCTTGTCGGGTCGGGGCGTGGAGGGCCCTTGGGATTGGGGATTCAACCTTTTGGAAGAATTAAAGACTAATTTTTCATGACAAAAGTCAAATCAAGGTATTATATTTACTTCGAACTATATCATTAACTTATTCAAAAAATTAAAATAAAATATGAAGTATCAAATAATTTTGAATAGGATTATTAACTAAATATATCCTCAACTATCATCATACTCACAAATCTATCCCATATTTTTACTTTTATTAAAAAAAGACTCGAATTTCAATTTTACTCACAATTACACTTTCAATAGATGAATTAGAAAAACTTAAGAATAAAATCATATTTATATATCATATTTTTCACTTCTTTCTAGTTTTAGATTTATAAACTTGTATTGCTTATATCTTATTGGTATAGATTAAATCTGTAATTTTGAAAAAAACAAAGAAGAAAATCATAATTGTTGAAAAAATGAAGAGCCCGTTTGGTAGCACGAAAATCAGCTGTTTTGGCTGATTCTGCTGAAATTTATGAAGTTCTGGCTGAAGTGGCTGCATTGACTGATTCTGCTGATACAAGAAAAAAATATTTTTAAAATATATTTTATTAATAAAATAAAGAAAAAATTATATGTAAAAATAGCTAAAATGATCATCCACAATAACTTCAGCCAATACAGCCAGAAAAGTAACTCCAACCTTACTTTTTCTGCTTATTACACAATTCAGCGTGCGAAAGCAAAATTTACGTGTTTGGTAAACAAGTTGGCTGATATGCCTGATAAGTCAAAAATGAGGGTTGCCAAACGGCCTTGTATGAATCTTTTTTGATAAAAGTGAAAGAATAGAATAAATTTGTGAATTTGATGATAGTTTAGTATAAAATATGCTAATAATCCTTTTGAATATTTTTCATATCGACATGCCATTATTATTTGAACAATGAAAATGAAAATTGTTTAGTTCGACTTCATGAAAGTATAAGAGAAATATTATAAACAATGAAATATTCTTTTGAAAAAAGAAACGGTGGTGTACGAGTATGGATGGACTCGGGCCGGGTGGCCCGACCCGGAACCGGCCCGGGACCGGCACTGTTCTGGCCCAGCCCGACCCGGTGGCCGGTCAATGACCGGTCCGGGTAGGCCCGACCCGTGGGTTTTCCGGTCCGGGCTCAGGTCACCCAAAACAAGGTCCGACCCGGCCGGGCTCCGGTCTGGTTTGGGCCAAAACTATTTTTTTTTTTCATTTTTTTTTAAATTTTCGGGTTGGGCTAGGTATTTTGGGCTATTTGTGTGGTTTGTGGTTTGGGGGTGGAAGGGAGGTTAACTAGGAAGGGGGGGGGGGGGGGGGGGGGGGGGAATTTGATAATGGGCCCGGACCGGACCCGGTGGTTACCCAGGCCGGTCCCGGGTCCACCACTCCTGAACCGCCGGCCCGCCCAGGCCTAGGCCCGACCCGGACCCAGCCCGGACCCGAGTCCACCCCTATGTACGAGTTGAAGGCTAATTTGTGAAGTCAATGATCAGAGGGCATCACAAAAAATGGACCAAGGGTGGGCAAGTCACCCAAGAACAAGCCTACCAAACCGAGATATGGCATGTACCCCTGGCCCCTGGGTCCCAGGCCGAGCATACTTGGAGTCGAGGGCTACTGCCCAAGCGTCAGTCTCTAGCCTGTGACCATTGGCTGGGAAACAGAAGGGACGAGTAGGCTTGTGCCACGAGCCAACCAGCTCGCTTCCACAATCTATCATTAGCTTTTGGGCGGGCATGCATTAAATGCATCTGCATGAACGATTCCACAACATATATTGAACGGCGATGAAGGTACGTAACAATGGTGGTCACATAGCCTGACCATTAGGAATCTTTGATCATAAATACTCCGTATCACTCTTTCTCCAAGGAGCAGGCAATCAAATCCAGGGCAATGCAGTAGTAATTCTCAAACCCAAATGAATATTAAAAAATTTTCTAGAGAAAAAAAATAGTCAAGGAACTCCAAATCCCCACCAGTATTTCCCACTTCCTTGGAATATCATGAGATACTGCAAAATTGATACTAGTCTTTTGAAAAATCAACATCCAAACGGAAGAAGAATGGTGTGTTCACAAACAAATCAATGAAAAGAAGAAAAAGTGTCCTTGCGATCAAGGCATCCAACGCAATTATTGATTGTTACACTAATATTCCGCACCACTCACAAGTATTTATTGATGACGAGGAGGGCACCTAGAGCTACAATAGACAACTAAGAAAAGATGAGCTGTAGAACAAAGTTTTCATGGCCATGGTAGAATACGTTCCTAAATCATATCATGAATTGGAAGGCCACCTTGACCATCGTTTCTCTTGAGCCTCTTTGTCTACAAAATTATTGTGCTGGTGAATGAAGGCATTACATTGGCTGCTCTCCCTCTCTCAATCTGATATTTTGAGCTCCACCCCCAGTATCTCCTTAACGTGCTCGTATGTCACGAAAGCAATAGCAATTGATGGCACAACCTGCACAATTATTTAACGATATCAACCTTTTTACATGGTAAGAAGTGATAGTCTGAAGAAACACAAAGCCTGTCAAGCTTTTGTTTCAAAAATCTCAAATTGCATAAGGTAATACGATGTACTGTTTGCTTGTTGGTTGGTTCACAAGAATGTCAGATTCCTAAAACTAATACGTAGTATGAGATTCCAAATATGAGTTTTTAGTTCACTTATTATGCTCCTGAACAACCTGATACCAGGGAATGTAAAAACATCAACCAAAGAGTCCCGAATTTTTTTGTTCAATTCCTACCCATTTGGCCACACCTTTTTAGAGGGGCCAATTAGGCCATCATAGTTACCCTCATTGCAAACTAGCAAAATGCAGACACGTCAATGAATTTGTGATATTATTATTGTTACTGTTATCATTATTGTTTTATTTTATTTTTAGTTTTTTCTAGTGTGACATTGCATGATGAGGGCAAGGAAATAATACTACGTACTACGTATATAGTGTTATTATATCCAATAGAGACGAACCTTTACTGAATTGGGGACCAGGCCCTTGTACAGTGCTCTGATGCCCTCATTACGAACAGTTTTACTAAATGCATCAATCATGCCAGTGTACTCGACGGAAGCCCTTCCCTTCCCTCCTTCACCAATTACAACAGATGCAGCATCTTTCCAACCCACCATCTGCATTCTGCGGCGAATAACATCAAGTGGGTAAGCAACTGTTTGGCCAATCGTCCCTGCAGCAGCCCCACACGCAAGCCTAGTACCAATACCAAGCTCATTATCTTCAACCAGTCCCAGAGGTTTAGATTTGATCAGAAAATCTTTCAAAGATTCATAAACAGCAAAATTAAGACCAACATAAGGAATCTGGGGACAAAAATCAAACTTTAGTTACAATTTGAACAAATAAAAGTACACAATATAGAACTCTCAAAAGAAAATGTGGCATTTGAAGAAATGCAAAAAACGGACTTACAACTCCTATGACAGATGGAAGCCAGCCTTTGTATAAAGCCCGTGGACCTTCTTCACGGAGCACGGTTGATAAAGCATGAACCATTCCCCTGTACTGGTAAGGAGATTTATCGGTCTGCAAACCAGGAGAAATAACTTTAGTCACACAAGAAATAAAAGCATTGCAATGAAATACCTCAAGACTAAAATGCAGATTTGATATATTCTATTTCCAGGATAATAGAGAATATTGCTTTACTTGGACAGTTAGCCTGCCTCGAACCATGTCCATTGGGTATGTTGCAGACATGGCAATTATTCCAGCACAAGCTCCGGCTCCAAGACGCAATACAGGAGTGAGCTGAGCATCATCTGCAAATAAACAGGATTAAAGCTCAAGCATCGCCAGAGTTTCACGAATCTTTTAATATATTTCATGTTTGTCAAAAGAAATGGCTTGTTCCAGTCTCACAGGTAAATGGCATATTACAGTGATATAAAAACATCAGCTAAATTGCACACAGGGAACTTAATGGAAATCGCCTTAATACGGTTTATGTTGTCCAGTAGCATATAGAGAACAGTGAATACTTATTACAGAAAAAATACAATTCAAAAGCCAAAATAAGTTCACACAATGTCAATGGAGGAAACGAATATAAAAGGAAAAAGGGATAAATGAAAGGCATTACCCGGTGATGGGCCCTCAATCTGGGGCGTTGGACGGGTTGATATGGGTACACACCTAAACTCCGGCGTAATTTGCTCGAAGTGGCTTCCCTCAACTCAACCCCGCATCCCACGCTTGACAGATTGAGCTTTTACCATGCACCAAGGAATGGCTTTTTGTTTGCTAGATATAATAGCAGAGGATAAGATTGGAGAAGAAGAAGAAGAAGAAGAAGAAAAAAAAGAAAACAAGACAGATAATTCACCTTATCACACATTCAACAAATATTATCATCATATACTGATACTAAATTCGCTCAAAATCTGGAATCTGGATACACTAAACCTAGTAAAAATGAGGGGTAAAATGATAACAGAATGTTATTTCAAGAATATATAAAGTAACTGAAAGACATTCAGAGGCTCATGTGTATTGAAATTTCTCTTTCTCAATTTCTCATTTTTAAAAGTTTTATCATCAAATCTTGCACATGAAAAATCATATAGGTCTGCACGCGTAAAGAATGGTGTAATAAGTGTTTCTGATTATGACAGGCTTGTTGTTGACAGAGCCTACGGCAGAGAATTTCAACCTTGATAAAGCCCTAGAGACCCCACCCTTGTCATCATAGTTTAAATAATTAAGACAATATCAATGGTGAAACTAAACCCCTATTTATACTGCTCACAATACTTGGTGAGCAAGTACACAGACTTTTAATGCTCCCTCCGTATTTAAAAGTTTGCTACACTTTTCTATTTTGGATTTATTCAAAAGTTTGCTACACTTTCCTTTTTTAGTAAGTTTTTCCTTTAAAAATACCCAACTATCCTTACTTTTTCTACTTTTATCTTCTCTTCCCTAATTTTTCACCTTCTCTCCTACTTTTTCTACACTATTCACTACCCCTATTATTTTCCCCTTACATATTGTGCCAAGACCTAATGTAGTGATCTTTTAAATACAGAGGGAGTATATTACAATATTGCTATTAGGAACATTAATCAAAAGAGGAAACCAATATTAATAATAATATTAATATATTATGAAGACTATTATGTTCATTTGGTTCACCATGTCTGTCCACGACCCTGTATAAAATGATTGGCATGATTTAAAAGCAAACTAAAAAGCAAGATATCTTATACTCCCTTCCTATTGAAATGCTTGTTATAATAGGGTTTGACACATTGTTTAAGAGAAAAGTTGTAGGGGTAATGAATAGTGTAGAAAAAGCAGGAGAAAAGATGGAAAAGTATGAAAGAGAAGATAAAAAATAGAAAAAGTAATGGTAATTGAGTATATTTAAGGAAAAACTTACCAAAAAAGGGAAAGTGTAGCATAAATTAAAATACATTCCGGAAAGGAAAGTGTAGCAAACATTTCAATAAGGAGGGAGTATTAACTTGCAAAACTAAAATAGTTTCCCGCCATGAGATGTCCATAAATCACAGATTCACAGGGAGCACATACGGTACATACCATTTCCAGTCTGTTCCCTGTACAGCCATAAGATGCCCCTGTACAATATTGACAAAGGGAAAATGATTATACGCCACAATGCATCGGATATAATGGTAACATAGATATGAAGTGATTCACCAATAAATTAGTGACTTCCTTGAATATACTGATATTGAAATTGAAGTTACTTTATCGACATTATGACTAGGTTGCATAAATCATAAATCAAGGTTTCTAAGATGGAACTATATTATAATGGGCAAACATTAAAAATGCTACACAATCCCATCCTTGGACAAAATCATACTTGGATGCCTGCTCGTAGCTGAAAAACTTGACAGCTGAATTTGGGATGATGCGAGCACAGTTGGTGCCATTGCCCTTAAATAATCCTTTGAATCCCTCGGTTCTCCAGATATACTTTAAGCCTTGAACTGTGCCATTGTATTTAATACTGTGGGGATTCTGAACCTGCACATTTGATCGCAATGTTATAAAGTTAGAAAATGCAAAGCCTCGGTTAATCATCTCTAGTAGACTTACTCCTATAGAAAAGTATTTTATTCATATAGAAGCTAAATATATAATTGTGGAGACTTTTAAAGACTCTTAGGATATGTTTGGTAAGATGTAATCAGCCATGTAATAGAATGAGCATTACGTATATGGTGGGTTACAATGTTTAGTTGAGTTGTCCATTATGTGTTGAAATTAAATTGGAATTCAAAATGACAAGGAAAGGTTTGCCCCTTGTGGTGGGACCCTTCCCCGGACAATGTGCACCGGATGCCCTTTGTGTGTGTGTGTATACATATATATATATACACAATTTGAAAATATATCGGTAGGCCCATGGCCTATGCACGTCCGCGGCTGTTGTGACAACGTGTGTCTGTGTAGTAGACTATATCATCAAGCACCAAATTCTTGTAGCATGTCTTATTTTCTGAATATTTTCTTAATAAACGAAGTGTCAATCATATATGTAGTGAGAAACTTAAAATTGAAAAATTACTGGCATTCACCTGTAGCAAAATTTTTAAGCGTTCCAGGGGAGCAACAGCTGTCCGTGACCTGCAACAGGCTGACTTTAGTAAGACTGTAAGATTAAGAATGTAAGATAGATATCCAAACTCTCACTAATGAAAAGGCTGCATTTTTTTTGCAGAGGATGAATAATGGTAACATTATACATTTATTCCCGTTTGGAAGGATAATAATATGTGCGGCTTAGAGAATGGTTCACGTGCTATTCCAAAATTACTACCAAAGGAATGTTTGGAGGACATTCCACCAATGGAGGAATGAATCATAAAAAATTAAACACTACGCATCGGGAAAAAGACACGCTTTATTGTTTCAGTGTGCATTTTTCATCTCTTAGAAGGCTCCAGCTTTCAATTCAACATAATAAATACACATACATGCATGGAAAATGGGAAAATGTGCGAAGTTGAACTCACACTCCACCGGCTACACCTCCAGCGACGAGAGATTTGCATATACTTAGGACGGCGTAGCTAGTTGGTTTGATTTCTTTCCTGGCGAGTTTTGCCTCTTCAGCGAGATTTACGATCTTCTCCACCGCGGAATCGCTAGCCTTCACGTCCTCCGAAGCCATAAAGAATTAATAAATAATAAAACGTCAATTAAACCGGGGAACTCAAAAATCAGAATTTGGCGAAAGGCCACAGTAGGATCTTGGCTCCTCACTACGAACGATTGACTGATAGGTAATTTATCTAATTATTTGCATTTGCTGGGGAGCTCTCTGTATGTCTCTACCGGCGTCGGCGGCTGGCAACAGATTGCTCGCGGCGGGTGGGAGACTAATATGAAAGCAGATCAACAAATGCAGCAGAGAGTCGATGCTGCTACTGGTGCGAGCGTGCATTTATGTGACGGCGTAATTTAGGTTTTAGCGTAGCGTCACCCGCCTGATAATTCCGGACTTAGGCTGTGTTTGACAAGCAACATAAGCTAGCTGAAATATTTCAAATTCAGTCAATTATTATACAACTAATGGTGTTTGGATAAAAGACTAAAATGAACTTGAGCTGAAAAAAATCATCTGAACTAAAACGTTCCAAAGAGCAACGTTTCGATTCAACCGCTGCCTTCTTTCCCATACTAACCCTTACGTATGCATTTTCCAATATCTCTGCCTCTGCTGCGCACTATAAAAACAAACGCAACTTCAATTCGATCAACCCAATATGCAAGGGCAAAAGAAGAATGAAAGAATCAAGGGCCCCTATTCAACTTTTTTTTTAATCGATTCACGGGGTTTTATTTGAAATATACGCAGCGGCAGTTTGTTTATTGGATGTAGAAAAAATTATAGAGTGTATACGTTCATATTTATTTAATGGTATGTATATGACACACATACTCCGCATATATCATCTTGATATTCACTGGAATTTAAGAAAATTATAATAAATATGTAGTATCTTCTTTTAATAAATTTATACTACGCATGTCCTATGTATAATGTAATTTTAAAAATATATATAATAAATATTTTGTTATATTAAAAAATCATTTGTCCTTTAATGTAATTTCGTATTATTCGGCACTTTTTCAGCTCATTTTGCCAAATGAGGCTATTCCATTCAGCTAACAATTCAGATTCAACACTTCAATATTCAGCTACAAACAATAGCCTCTGATTCAGACAACATCCCCTAATTCAGACATTAGCCTCTAGCTTCAGCTGGTTGCGCCAAACATAACCTTAATTTCAGTGGAAAATGGGGTACTCCAAATTAGAACAAATCAAACTAGACTACACTAAAAATGAATACTTAGGGTCTGTTTACTAATAGAGATATTTTCCTGTTTTTTACTTCTGTTTTTCGTTCTCCAATTTTCTGTTTTTATTTTTCAGTTTTTCTATCTACAATTTTCTATTTCTATTTTCTAGTTTTCCATTTTCAAATCTGAAAACATGTTCATCAATTTTTTCACCCAGTTCTGTGATCATCCAGAAGACTGACACGTTTACTTCACAAGTTACTAAATGGTGCTTATTAAGACTCGCGTTAATAAGTGACGCATAAAATAAGCAATGTTATAAGATCATGTTTACTTCAAAAGGTATAAAACACCGTTTAACACTAAAATATTCAAAATAATCCTATACATATATAGACACACAAACATTCATGAACACAAATATATGATATAATATGTGGGGTCGATCACCTCATACGTGTACCCATACTCATAACCCCTACCCTGCCCCTATACCTCGTACCCCCACCCTACACCTTACACCCAATTCCACACCATTGACCCTACCCCTGCCCTTACCACGATCTTACACTCTACCCATACTCCCCTAAAACCCATCATACCCACCCATACCTACTCGTAGGGGTCGGGGTAGGGAAGGAAGTGGGGGTGGGTGGGGTGGGGTAAGAGGTATGGGTCCTGGGTGGGGTGGTAAGGTCTATGGGCACGGGGTTGGGTGGGTAGTGGGTGGGTTATGGTGGTGGTTAGGGGTAAGGGTGGGGGTAGTGAGTAGGGTTGGGGCTGGGGTAAGGTGGGGGTAAGGTGGGGAGTTGGGATAGGATGGCGGTAGGGTGGGGCCGAGGTAGGGGAAAGGGTAGGGTGGGGGTAGGATGGCAGTAGGGTGGGGATATGATGGCGGTACGAGGGTGGGGCTAGGATGGCGGTAGGGTGGGGCCGAGGTAGGAGGCATGTGGGAAGGGGTAAGGTAGGGATAAGTGGTAATATACGAGGTGGGGGTAGGGTGGGGTGGGTCGGGGTGACGGTAGGGTAGGGTGGATCCGGGTGGGACCGAGGTAGGGTCATGTGGTAGGGTGGGGTAGGGTCATTGTAGGGAAAAGGGGTATGTGGGGTTGGGGTAGGGTGGGTAGGGTAGGGTAGGGGTAAGGGTAAGGGGTAAGGTATGAGGATGGAGGTACTATAATGGAATCGACATCAGAGTGGGACAGGACTTACCACTAGGTGTAAGTATGCAAATTCATCGCAGCGCCCTGTAGCATATGCGTTTTCCAAATTTGGAAAACTAGTAAAAGTCACTTCTCCAAATCATTAAGGAAAAGAGAGACGTGTCTCATTTTTTCATTTTGGAAAATGGATTAGTAAACTCGTTTTTCTGTTTTCCTTTCTCCAGTTTTCCAGCAATTTTCTTTGGTAAACACGTTTCCTGTTTTCTGTTTTCTAGTTTTCTAGTTTTCTGGAAAACTGGAAAATATCTCTGTTTTAATAAACAGGCCCTTATATTCACATCGGATAGCGAACAAACATTTACCACACTAGATCATACTAGAATAGATCAAATCAAATCAGAAAAATTCAGTCCAATAAAAAATATATGTAGACATTTGTACTCACCATATAAGCAAATTAAATACTTTCTATTTTACGATTTACGATTAATTTTTAGAAAGAATTTGACTTTACACTCCACTTTTTAGGTGATATTTGACATTACACCTTATTCTCGAAACAATTAATATGTACACCCGATATAGTATAATGTCATTTGACTTTGCACAAAAAAGCTACCAAAAAAGATATTTGTGCATAGAGCTTTCTTTTGGTGGCCTAACTTTACATACATTTACTAATTTTCTTATTTTATTTGTATTTAAAAAAATGTATAAGTATTTTTGACAATACAAACCATTTTTAAGACAATACAAACCACTTTTATTAATTTTTTAGTTTTACATTTTCATGCAGAACTTTTTCTTATTAATATTTAGGACGTTATAGACAATTTTTATGAACGATACAAGAAAGAACTGTGGCGGTTAATCATCTCTAATTTAGTTTGTCAGTGACTCTACACTTTTGGTGAATCTTAAAAAATAAAAGATGAATGTGGAAAGATAAAAAATGATAAAGATAAAAAATGATAAAAATGTAAGGTAATGAAGATGTTGAAAAGAAATTGGAGGTGATGAAGAAGGAAGAAGGAACAAGAGTGGGTGGGTAGAGGGGAAGGGTAGGGAGAAAGAGGAGAGAGGGAAAGGACAACATGGGTAGGGAGAGGAAAGGGTAAACGTGAGATGGTAAAAACAAAAATTATATATAGTGTGTTAGTAGTGGTCTATGCAAATAGTGTGTACACGAAGTGTTTTTAAAATTCAGTTTTGGCACCACGTATTTGAACGATGCAATTTTGATATCCTATATTCCAATTGTGCAAATTGGGTTCTTGAAGTATAGTAGTTGAGCACTTATAGTCTCTTTCATCATTTTTTATCATAAAAGAGCGGGTTGATATTAAAAATGAAAACGCACACCAGACAACCTTTAGATAGATTTTTACAGATTTAATCGTGAACCTTAAGAGTATACATAGAGTCAGTCACCTCATACAAAGCAACTTGACTCGCTAAACTTGAAACGGACAAATTTAAGCCTAAAATGAACCATCTTGAAATATGCCTATCAAAAGAACTCCCAAAAACCCAAACATTCAAACCAAATCTACTCGGACTAGAATAGAAACTAGTACTACTAAAGAGAAAATAATGTAGAAATAAAATATTTTCACAAAACTCTTCCTGGTATGGACGTGGTTCCGAAGGAGGAGGAGTGACATACACTTTGTCGCGGTGTGCACTCAAAATAAATACAGTACAACAAATATACGTAGTATATTGAAGTAAGGTTCGTATCCACAGGGAAAGGAATATTTATCTTTTATGTAACTAGTAACAAGGGGGGTTTTATGATTGTTGATGAACTTAAATGTATTTAAACACTAAGATGAACGACTTATGTGGTTTACTTTAATTGAGATGAAGACTTGGTTTTGCTTTTATCCACTTAATGAAATGTTCGTCGATCCAGGTTATATCTTTAACTATCTTCCTCTCAGATACTCAATCAAGGAGTATATCCAATTCATCGAGGGTAGTTATTAATAACGAGACGCGTTCATTAATAAAACTAACTACCGAGTTAATATAGAACATGCGCCGTATATCAGCCCGATAGTAGCAAAAAAATCAAGATGAAAATGATTGAGGTTGATAACCTCAACACAAGCGGTCTATTGGTTTAATCAACATAATTAATTCCTCTTAGATTATTAACCATGAGACGCATGCATTAATAACCCAAGTTTACTACCGTGAATGAACCGAATTAATAACAAGCGTATTAATCGATTGATTCTAGTAATAATTAATATATGAAACAAAACTAGTTGATCCTTTAAGTAATGCTCAAAATATTAATATGAGATATGAATAGGAAATAATTAATATTTAAGGAAGAAAATTAAAGAAAATAATTCACAACTTACAAATTCATTAAGCTTCAAAGTAGCAAACCAAGATGGAAGAGTTTAGCTCCTCATTTAATTTGGAGACTAAACATGATGAAAATACAAAGAAAGAACTATTCTAGACTGAGCTTAGAACTATATGTGAATTGGTGATTTTATTGTGAAGGAAAGGGATGTATTTATAGGCTTTTGGGACATGCATGGGTGTGTGCCCGATCGGGTATATAGGGTGCCGATCGGGTACCTTCAGCGGCTTCCCGGAAGCTGCAAAAGTGGGGCATACCTGACCGGGTACGTCGGTCACCCGATCGGGTATGGACAATCGAACATGGTTAAAAATCCTCCTGCACGTTGCCTTGTCCCGGATCCGATCCGATTTGAAATTTCAACAAGATACTCGATCGTGTATAGGTCATACCCGACCGGGTATAGACCAAAAAATCAGGATCTTCTATTTGTTTTGTGATTTTGCACCTTCTTTCCACTTTTGGGGTTCACCAACGGTCCTTGAGTGATCATGGACCTGTTTGAGCTCAGAATAAACCTAATCTAAACAATTTACAAGTATTTTACAAACTAAACTATTACACCAAAAGTGTGTAATTTACAAAGTAACAATCAATCAAAACTAATTAAAAACATAGACATAAACATGGAAATTACATGATTATCAACTCCCCCACACTTAGTTTCTTTACTCGTCCTCGAGT